ATAAAATATACGTTTTTTCGTTATCTCGATCCCACGGAAAATATTTTCCCTGTCGAATTATCTGTATGTTGAAAAATCTCTCAATTCGGTTTTTCCACAATTAATCGTCTGAAACGGTTTTCCCGATAAATTTAACGAAAACTAATGAAATAACGATTGATGAGTTAAATGTACGTTTCACATTAACGGTTCGGAATTAAATGTACGAAAGTATTTGAAAACTTATGTTTATATTGAGATGCGTCTTATGAAATTAGTACAATTTAAATTAGAAATCGGTGCAATGTTAAGGGTTGATGGGTGTAGGATAAATGTTAGGATATGTTAAATGGGTATAGGATAAATAGATAAAAGTTCACTTCTGATTGATTATTAATTCACAGTAATTTTTCTGCTCTTAGGTTGTCATATAAGATCACAGTTGTGATGAAAAGCTAGTTGCTATTAGTATAGTTACAGCTAGTGTACTATTTTTTAAAACTATCAAAAAATTATCATCTTTTGTCTGTATAGTAACACGACACTATATGTAACATATAACTGACTCACATATGTTTGATTACGTTAAGAGATTTTAAAGTACTATCAACTAATTTGTACGTCAAAGCAAGTAGTTTAAAAACGAAGGATTATCTGTACAACATGTAAGTGCATCAATTTTAACCTCCGTTTGATATGTTCCCTGTTGCCAAGCAATGATTCATTGTCATGATACACGTAGTGCGCTCGCATTAGCAACGGGATTCAACCAACGGCAATCATCGTTACCGTTTGCAAATAAGCTTGATGAATTAGAAGTATTTATCCGTTGGCCGAATACGAGAGAATTTCACGTACGATTTGTCGTTGCGGTGATTCGTTGCTCGTCGTCCTTAATCGCTATTCCATTTTTAAACGTGAAAACTGGCCGTGCAATCTGCGATTATAAATCAAGTGGTAGCGGGTAATGGAATATGGGCTGACAGGTTTTTTCTTAACGTGTGATTATAGTGTTGGTTTTATTATATATTGGATTATCGTATATTAAATAGACGATTTCGAAACATTAGACGTCCCATGGAGTTTCAGCTGTTTGTTGGATGCACTTTCAAGATAAACTGTTAATCGATCAAACTAGGGAATTTGAATTGATTTCACTATTGCTTACAGATAAAAATATTGTACATTTACTGTTATCATTTTTTCAAAAATGCAGAAAGCTACATGATTGATTGCTTAGTGGACGTCGACCACTGTGGTTAACCCAATAAATTAATATTTTCTTAGATTTATTGGGCCGCTATATCCTTAAATGACGGTATCTCTACATTTCTTTATTTTTACATTACTGTATCTCTTCAATGTTTACTTAACACCTTGTCTTATGATTTATTTGCGTGTAAGAATTAACTAATCACAGTTGCAATATTAATATGAACACAGAAAGTCAAAATATTATCAAAATGTTATAACAAAATGTTTACGTACTTTATACAGGCTGGCTCACCACATTTTGCCATCTAGATTTGCGTTATTATTATTGCTTATAGCAAACAATGTGTCGTTGCTCGTCGTCCTTAATCGCTATTCCATTTTTAAACGTGAAAACTGGCCGTGCAATCTGCGATTATAAATCAAGTGGTAGCGGGTAATGGAATATGGGCTGACAGGTTTTTTCTTAACGTGTGATTATAGTGTTGGTTTTATTATATATTGGATTATCGTATATTAAATAGACGATTTCGAAACATTAGACGTCCCATGGAGTTTCAGCTGTTTGTTGGATGCACTTTCAAGATAAACTGTTAATCGATCAAACTAGGGAATTTGAATTGATTTCACTATTGCTTACAGATAAAAATATTGTACATTTACTGTTATCATTTTTTCAAAAATGCAGAAAGCTACATGATTGATTGCTTAGTGGACGTCGACCACTGTGGTTAACCCAATAAATTAATATTTTCTTAGATTTATTGGGCCGCTATATCCTTAAATGACGGTATCTCTACATTTCTTTATTTTTACATTACTGTATCTCTTCAATGTTTACTTAACACCTTGTCTTATGATTTATTTGCGTGTAAGAATTAACTAATCACAGTTGCAATATTAATATGAACACAGAAAGTCAAAATATTATCAAAATGTTATAACAAAATGTTTACGTACTTTATACAGGCTGGCTCACCACATTTTGCCATCTAGATTTGCGTTATTATTATTGCTTATAGCAAACAATGTGTTAGATGAAGTTGAATGGTTTTGAGAGGGGCATATGCTGGTGGTATATTTTGTTTTGTAGGTGGACGTGTAAAGGACATATGAAGGTCATTAATGTTTTTTTAAATGGAATCATATATTTCTGATTGCATCAGCTGATACTCCTTCATATTCTTTACAAAAGAGTATTAATCTATTTATGTGAAAAAATCATTAGTTTAAGAGATATTTTAATTCTAACTTGTTATGAAATCGTGACTTTCTAGTCAATATTATGAATTGCCCTAACTGAACAGCAAATGTTTTTCTATATGCTTTGAGAGGTCACGTGTCACCAAACGAATTGTGAGTTTTTGTTTTTTTTTTGTTAAGCAGCAACAGTGAAATTTAGTCTCTGTTACGTCTCTAACAAAATGAATACAACAATATGGTGAATTATCACTTCATAATGAAGTATTCTAAAGAAGAGAAGATAGACATTTTATCAGTTCATTTTGCAGCTGGGAAAAAAGCTACACATGCAGAAAGATTACACACTACGGAATGTTAGTAAGTCATTAATTTCTCGATTCAGAAAGTGTTCTGATGCAAATGGTCGCCACATTGGACATTTTCTGTAAATAGACATTAAAATTAAAATATCTCCTAAAGTAATGATTTTTTCACATAAATAGATTAATACTTTTTTGTAAAGAATATGAAGAGGTATCAGCTGATGCAATCAAGAATACATGATTCCATTTAAAAAGACATTAATTACCTTCATATATCCTTTACACGTCCACCTACAAAACAAAATATACCACCAGCATATGCCCCTCTCAAAAGCATTCAACTTCATCTGAAACATTGTTTACTATAGGTAATATTAATGACGCAAATCTAGATGATAAAATGTGGTGAACCACCCTGTATATGCTGCGACCCTTGTTTATATAGAATATAACTGGATTTGAACTCGCAATTAACATGCACTAAAAATTCGAGTAGGATTTATTATAGTTAGAGTGCGTAGCGTTTAGAGTCAAAGTATGGCAGGGGGTTAAATTGATTCTTTCCTAGGTTTTTGAACTTCTAGACCATTTCCTTAATTACTGCATTTGCAGATGGTTTTATCCTTAAATTGTTTCATTTTGATAACATTTCATCCATGGATGAATAATTAGTTCACATCTATGGATCCCGAAATTCCGAGATCATTCCCTAAAACCTTTGATTGCTAAATCCTTAGAACCTTATGCTAGGTTCACATATCATCACACATTTCAACGAGTATAAAATTTAACGAGTGTAAAACATCAAACCTAAAATTGCACATAACTTTGTCCTCTACTTCTAATTTACTCGTATCCCACTTGTGTTCTAACACTCGAGCTATATTTGAACTTACTAGTTAAAACCATCCACGAATAAAATGCAGTATGTGAAAACTTCCGAATACCAAACATTTCTGAAAGCTTCGAAATAACCGAGTTCGAACGTTTCGTAATTACAACATTTCCAGTAAACATTCGCAACCGTAGGTGCTGTCTGCAGCATGGCCATAAATCATTCCAGTGTACTCGTCTCGCCCGCGCGATTCTTTTGTGCGAACGCGAATTTTTACAGGCCAATACCGATTTTACTTTGTTACCGTTGGTCTGTGTTAAATCAAACCGGTGATTTACTGGACGATCAATTAGCCTGTCGAACTTATCGCGACGATGCGTCGGTTATCGATATCGCTTCGGGCTGTACGCTTCCTGTGAAGATGGAATTACCGGGTCCAATTACTTCGCGGCGATATATCATACCCGTCAACTTAGCTGTACAGGCGTAAGCAGATTTTATGTGAATGCCGCGAATACGCGTTCCGATTGAATTTTCAGACCGAGAAACGAGATTGTCGCTGCGTTCCTCCGCGACTTTCGTGCGGCTTCCTGATTTCAATCAGTCTGCTATTGCGTTCCTGTAAATGTCTCACGATCTTTAATTAAATCGTTGAATTATACATGACGTGTTTTATGATTACTTCTTAAAACTGCAAGCATGGAATTTTCTACGTAACTGCATTTTTTAAGTCATCATTCTTAATAGAGTAAGAACATACTCTAGGTATTCATGTTGATGACGTGCAGAATTTTTCTTCTAAATGTGTTTTTATATTTTTCGAGTGGGAATGCGGAGAAAAGGAATTGTATTTTGAAGATGTTTTTGGAATAGAGGGATGAAAATATTTATTTGGGAAAAAGGAGAAATTCAATGGGAAGGTTAACAGATTTTAGAATTTATGAGTTTTTAGATTCAATAAATTGGACAGTTAGAATTTAAAAGTTTGCGATTTTGTAATATTAAAATTTTAATGTTAAACATTTGGTGAAATGAAAAGTTAAAAGATTGGGTATTTAGAAATTTGATGTTGGTAATTTGGAAATATGAAAATTTAGAAATTTAGTGTTGGTAATTTAGAACTTTATGTAGGTGGAAATTTAAAAATTTAGAAATTTATGCAGGTGGAAATTTAAATAGTTAGAAATTTGAAAGTTTGTAAATTTGAAAATTTATTAATTAGGAATTTTGGTAATTACGAAATTAGAAATACTGCATTTTCAAATTTCTGAATATTTAAACTTTTATGTCTTTAAATTTAGAACCTTAAAATTTTTTTAATTAACCTAAGAACTAGTGAATCGATCATGTGACCAGTAATTAATATACCAGTAATATTGTAATAATTTTCGTGTTTCAATGTCAGTTCGTTATTTAACTGACACAGATTCTCTAAATTCTAGAATAAACGTTCGAACTTTCTGTTGTAGGCATAGAAACAAAATTTGCTGGCTCTAGTTGCAACGATCTCGTGACTTCCGATGGGGCTGGTTCAACGATAATTAGCGGCCATTTCGATCAGAGAATCCGATTCTGGGATACCAGAGCCGAATCCAGTTCGAACGACATTCTTCTAGAGGGAAAAGTAACATCCCTGGATCTATCACGAGGTAAGTTTCATACATTCCAGTGATTTAATTACATTTTGAATTCTAATCCAATGGAACGTACTATAAATGTAATCTAACTAATAAAATTCTGTCGTTAAAGTGGATGTGTAATTTAAGGTTAAAATATCTCTGCTCTGAAATAATTTTTAATATGTAACAATTTTGGATTCAGAAATTGGTCTCATCGTAAGTGATGAGTCGTGCCTAAGAGGTTAACAGTCATATTGAAATATAAAACGATCCAAGACAATTTACCTATTTGTTATCCATTTTAAATATTTTTTTAACTATTTATTATCCATTTTAGCCACTTTATGTTTGGACAATCTGACTATCTTTATTTGCCACTTTATCAGCCACTTCATGTCTGAACAATTTGAATATCTTTTTCAAAACCCTGGTATTTTTATTACTTTTTTCCTCAAACTCCTTTAACACAGCAGTGTTCATTAAAATTTTAGCTCTTTATATTAAAATGAAAAAATATTTTGAATTTTTCTGTGAAAACCATTATTTTTTCAATATCTTCACGTTTCATATTAAACATTTAAGTTCACTGACATCAGCTATGAAATATGTTAAAATAAATTTCAAAGAATATTTAAAATTTTTTTTTTAGTTGAGTAACTTTTTTACAAGAAATATTTTTAGTGACTCGGCTTTCATACGTCCTAGTGTGCCAGGTGTATTATTTTGGTCAAATGTGACTGTTAAGGGTTAATTTACTTATAGTATACGTCCAAGAATTTATCATGAAATAAACATTGAACTGTTAGGTTTTAGTTATGAAACTCTTAAATATCTAAATTTGAACATAAATGGACTTTCAAAATAAATTTAAGTAAATTTGTAGTGAGCAATCAATGTGTTGATTTCGAAAGAATAGAACCGAAACGATATAGTGGATACTGTAAAGTCCTACCCGATTACGTGGTGGCACTCTAATGCTTTTCCTTTATCATTCGCCGTAATACATTATGTATACTTCCATTAAAGTATAATATACCATTCCCTGGGAAATGTTCCCGTTAGATTCAGAATGAAACCTTTCTCGAACGCTTCCCCATAAGATTTATACGTCTCGAAAAGGAATTACTTACTTAGCGGATTCGTCTCGATGCATTTCGTGGCATACCAAACATTCTTTTTTTTTCCTTCTTTTTTTTACTTCGCCCTATCTCTTTTTCTGTTCCACATCCTCCCCTATCCTTGTTCAAATAACGGAGATTCAGGGAAACTTCCAAGCGACGTGATCGGAATGCGATCAGAACATAATCAGCGATTGCTTATTATCTTTATTCAGGCACGTACACGACAGGCCTGTTGTATGTCTAACCGTATTAGTACAACCAATTTAACTTTAACATAGACAACATGCAAATTCAACCACCAACACCTGCTTGTTTTCAGATGCAAATTATCTTTTGAGCTGTGTCAGGGACGATACGTTGAAACTCATTGACCTGCGGATGAAGAAGATCATCGGATCGTTCAGGTGAGGGATAGCTATTGTCAGTTATGCTCTGCTGTAAAATTTTTCTACAACCGTGTGCTGACTCGCGCACGTTTATTCAACAGAAATTAATCCGTTGAATAATAATTGAATATGAGTCCGAACGGTTGACTCGAAGACGTCCTAAACGGTGGACTCGTGAAATTGATAAGTCCGTCGCGAATGACTCGTGAAATTTCTAAGTCCGTAATCGAATGACTCGTAAAATTTCTAAGTCCGACTTAGGTGACTTTACTTGAGATTCTTTTTAGTCCGACTCGGATGACTAATGTTGGAATTCTGACGAGACGTTCCGTCGTTACTTCCTCGAAACGTCGGAAGTGCAAGGAGGCATGCTGATTGGTTCTCATTAGAAACGTTGATTTTCCAATCAACATGCCCCTTGACTTGGGCCCACCCTCTCTTGCGCCCTGAGCGCGCCTTTTTTGGAAGAGGGTGGGAAAAAATACCGATGAGTACGGGAGGATCTCGAAGGCCGGCAACGCCGGGGTTTTTGCCTCCAGGTGACACACACGTTGTCCTAAAAAGTACCGCTAGGACGGAACCGAGGCCCATCCTCGGTGACCCTTCGGGAAAAACCCTGTTTATGACGGAGTAGATATTGAAGACTAAATGAAACTTAGAAATTCTAAAGGCATTGTTCGAAAAAATGTAAAACTAAATTGCCGTCGATGGCTAAAAATCTGTCTTTCAAAAATAACTGTTACCCGGACTTATCATAAACTACCTACGAAATCCTCGCGTATTGTGTTCCGTAGCACGTTCGGAACAAACCGTCTGTAATTTTTTGTGCTTTCATTTGGTAGTTTCATTTGCTATTTAGTGTACTTTAGCATTGATTGGACAAGGTTTGCAAATTTTATGCTTCACCTTCTAAATTAACAAATTGTCAAGTTATGTAAGTTCTGGATTTCTGAATTTCTAAATGATTGAACTTGTAAATTCCCGAATACCTAAATCCCGGTTAGCTAAATTCCTGAATTTTTAAATTCCTAAATTACTAAATTGCCGAATTCCAAAATACCCTACATCCCAAGTTACCGAATTTCCATATTCCCGAATATTTATATCCCCGAATTTCTAATTTCCCGAATTCCTAAATCCCGGTTAGTTAAATTCCTGAATTTCTAAATTTCTAAATTACTAAATTGCCGAATTCCTAAATTCCCGAATTTCCACATTCTCGAATATTTATATTCCCGAATTTCTAATTTCCCGAATTCCTAAATCCCGGTTAGCTAAATTCCTGAATTCCCAAATTTCCGAATTCCTAAATTCCTAAATTAATAAATTGCCGAATTCCTAAATTTTCCACTTCCTAATTTCTCGAATTATTAAATTTCTCACTTCCTATGTCTCTGAATTTCTAAATTCCCCACTTCCTAATTTCCCGAATTCCTTAATTCCCCACTTCCTAATTTCCCGAATTCTCCAATTCCCAAATTTCTGAATTCCCCATTTCCTAAATTTCCAAATTACAAACATTGCTGAATTTCTAAACTACCGAATTCTCATATTTCCGAATTTCTAAATTCGCCTCTTCCTAATTTCCGAATTTTTAAATTCCCGACTTCATAATTTCCCGAATTTTTAAATTCTCCACTTCCTAGTTTCCCGAATTCCTATATTCTCGAATTACTAAATTGCTTAATTTCTGAACCCCCGATTTCTCATATTCTCGAATATCTATATCCCTGTATTTTTAAATTCCCCACTTCCTAATTTCCCGAATTCCTTAATTCCACACTCCCTAAATTCCCGAATTCCTGAATTCCTTACTTCCTATATTCCCAAATACCTAAATTTCCGAATTCTTAAATTCCCCTCTTCCTAAATTCCTAAATGCTCAAATTTCTACGTTTCCCACTGCACAAATTCCCAATATTCCAAATTCTCTAATTCTTACATACTCAAATTCCTAAATTTCTTAAATTCTAAGTTTGAAAATTTTGCACTTCACAATGTAGAAATTCAACAACTCAGAAACTCACAAATTTGAACCTTCCATATTTTATAAAAAATTTCCTACTTTCCAAATCCCTAAATTTAGAAATATTACATTTTCTAAATTTAATTAAATATTACGTATAAATTTAGACATTATTAAGTGCATAGACTTCTAATTCTATAAATTGGAAAATCTGAAATCCCTGCCTCATCCCTCTGTGATCCTTATATGCACCATGCATCCCGATCGACACTTGATCTGCCCATCACTGGTCTGCATAATGTGTATAATCTGACGTATAATCCGAGAACATAATAGATCTAGAATGGAACATATCTTATTCGGAAGCACATCGTTCGTACAGCGGAACCCACGATTTTTCGACGTGTTTATCTTTTTATGCGATCGAATAAAATTTATAATTGTAACGCAGACAATTATTTTAATATTAGGATCAATTGCTCTTTCATTCACTTACATTTGAATGTTCTTTTGTTTATGAAAGATATAAAATGGAACGTATTATAGGTTCACAAGAGGCAAGCTGTTATTATAAAGTTGATAGTAGGAATAATGACCGCGATATAGTGCTACTGAGGATAATTACAGTGATTCGCTACTGAATACGCGTTCTATGTGACTATAGTTCCTCAGTGAAATCGTTTTTATACAACAATCGTTTCTAGCTCTTTTTTGTTGGCGCAGTTAAGAGTCCCTTCCTTTGTTTTGTCTCTTCAATCATATCAAGTAAATACATGTATAAGCAGTTGCAAATGATTTTGTAGCACGTAGTATTGATTTAAACGAGTTGGGCTAAGTTGTATTATTATAAGTAAAAAGTACTGCTGTATTATTCAATGAACTTAATGTATAACTAATTTTTCTCTACATGCTTATTTTCTTTAAACATCAGTCAGTATCTTTATATTTATGTACTTTCATTTTATTTAAAATTGTAGTAGAAATTGTAAAGAAAAATATTTACACATGAATGTTTAATAAAATCTGGAAATATTGTACAAGTTAGATTTTGCAAATATATATTTATTAAATAAAAGTATTAAAGAAGTGTGTTTATTTTAAATGTATTAGTAATAACTGTAATTGGATTTGTTAGTGTTACTTATACCGTTTAACTTTCCCCATTTTAGCTCTAGCATCCACCATTTTATGATCCATTAACCCAACTTGATATTGGATTACGTTCGTTAGATTCGATTAGGTTATGTTGACCTATAAGTTTTGAAATTTTGTTTCAGAAATTGTATCATACAATAGTAACACAAATGTTTTATTTATTTCTGCTTTTAGTATAAATATGTCAAAGGTATGTTTAAAATTAGAGTTTTTTAATTCAGAATAAATTCTCTTCTTAGTATAATAGTTGTTAAACAGAAGCTTTTCAATAACTTCTTTTAACGACATGTTTTTGGTATATTCTCTACCATTGTTAATCAAACACATGATTTATTACAAGACAATTTAGATTAATATTAAATAAAAAATTACATAAAAATTTCAATTTATAGTAAATGGCTTTTATTTATAGTATACTAAAATATTAACAAATAATTACTGTTATGGCAGGTCCTAATAAAAATACTCAAATTAAAATATTGTAATTAATTAAACAAGCACATGCTTTATAATAATACAATATAAATTTGTATATGATTTAGTTTATATTAAATAATTTATCTTTGTAACAAAATACAAAATCAACAGACACTTTGTCTGGCATATATTCTAATAAAAATTTTTCAATCAGAACATTGAAATTAAATAAACACACGATTTATAACAAAATAATTGAGATTTGTGTTTCGTCAAAAATTAATTTAAAAATTAAGCCTACATTAAACAGTCTGTGTTTATGTTAAAATACAAATTCAACAAATGTTTTGTAACGTGACAAATTTCAATAAAAATCCTCGAATCAAAACATTGTAATTAATCAATCAAACACATAGATTATAACAAAACAATTTAAATTCCTGTTTAATCAGAAATTAAATAGAAAAGTGAGTTTATATTAAACAATTTACGTTTATATTCAATCAAAACTGAAGTTAAAACTGAAATCTGTATTAAACAATTTGTGTTCATAACAAAACTCAAAATCAGCAAATACTTAAACCGTGACGGATTTCAATCAAAACGATTCTCGAATTAAAACACCACAATTAATTGCGATGTCTGTTTGATTTGCAGTGCTGATGGCTTCAAAGTCGGTTTCGATTGGACACGAGCAACTTTCAGTCCCGATGGACAATACATAGCAGTGGGATCGTCCGATGGGTCCGTTTTCATTTGGTCCGTCGCCACAAACACGATCGAAACTGTCCTGAAAAATCACTCGTAAGTATATCATTCCTTTGCAATAACACTAGAGTTTATTATAAGATATAAACTGCGTACATTCGTGCGTCAATGGGAAGGCAAATGTACCCATTAGCTATCCCGTCTACGTTAGTGTTCCCATTCAGTTTATTTTACTCAATTAAAGATGATAAATAAAACGGTCTACTAATTGCTATCGCAGAACGTGGAAATTATTAAATTTGTTATTGTGATGGATGTTACGTGTAATTACAGACTTTTGTAAGATGAGTTTTCAATTCTTCAATTCTTCAATTCTTCAATTCTTCAATTTTTCAATTTTTCAATTTTCCAAATTCCTACGTATCCATATTTCTAAACTACCAAATTTTCAAATATTTAAATTGTTAAATTGTCGAAATGTCCAAACAGCAAAATTCGAGAATTTACAAAATTCCAAAGTCTTCCAATCTCTAAGTTCTACGATCTAACAATTTTCCAATCAGATAATAATATATCTCTTAATTTTTAATTATCCCAAACTTTTTAAATCCCAAAATTCCGAAATTTCACATGTACAAAATTCCAAAATTCCTAAACTTCCCAAAATTCCCAAAATTTTAAAAATTTCCAAGATTCCCAAATTGTTTAATTTCCTTAAATCTAATAATTCTCAAACACACTAGTTGTCAAATGACTAGTTCTCAAATTATTAGAAACTTGCAACTTAGAACACAGAACTATTATAGCCAATATTATGTACTTTTTTCGAGTACACCGTCATTGTCCCTAAAAAAACTCTACCATGCTCGTTACTGTCATCCACATTCTGATTATTGTGAACCGCTTTCCATTTCTATGAAACCAGTTTAATCCACACATTCCTCGAGTCATAAAGAAATACTTAAAGTTTTCTTGAAATACTTTAACCCTTCTGAAAATTCAAAAAATTGCATCAGTGAAATGCAAAAAAAATTGCCTTCACTCTCACTCTTGCACGAAATAAATGTCGTTACTTTCATTTAGATCAATCTTGATTATTTAAGCAGGAGATGAGATTTAATTAGTCACGGTGAGATAGTTGATAGAAACCTGATAAGTAGTTTATGAGATGTATTTCATGATCGAGTTTCTTGTCGCTGACAAGGAATTCTTATCGATTTTACGTCAGGTCAGACAGTGAACCACCATAAATCAACGCGTTCAGAAACTTCTTTATTTTTGATCTGGCAGAAAAATGTTCCAGAAAGAGTGCAAGGTGAACCACTTTACATTACAGTATGGAACAACGCTTTTGTTGCCCGCTGTATAGGAAAATGGAACAAGAAAAGATTGGTACGGTTTCAAGAAAGAAATTTCTTGGATGAGATAAAGCGTTTATATGGTAGATTTGCGATAAACTGTTGAAACGGCTATCGATCTTGCTACTGAATTTCTCTTCTGTTCGACACATTCGTCGTAAAATTTATGAAGAAGATTCATTAAATCATTTTACTTATATTCGTAAAATACAGAGAGTTCCAAGGACAATGTGTCAGGTTACACTTTACAAGGGTGAATTTTACCCAAGGGTGAAATTTTTTTAAAATTTGCTCTTGTGATAATTTTGGCCTGTTCACTAGTTGGTGACGATTTCAATTTTCATAGTAGAATTAGATAGAAGTTAAAAAATGCTACTTCATTTATTGGAACTCTTGACTCTATGACACGTTGACAGATACTGTGGCAACCTTTGTTTATTTTATATTGTTTTTGTTTAATTTTGTTTAAATTTTAATTAATTTAAATTTTAGTTTAAATTTTTTATTTTGTTTAATTCAAAATGTAATACAATTTCTGTGCAACATGGGGATATTTTAGTTTCTGAAATCCTGTGCCCCAAAGAGTTAAACTAAATATGTTAAACATTTTAATCGAAGTTGAATGTAAGTATAATAGTCAGTTAAAGTGTGAATATATTTTTCTGAGACACCCTGTACAAGCATCCAGATAATTTTCTATTAAAATTTTATGAAACAATTTAAAAATTCGATTCCAAAGATAATGAAATATGGATCTTTTCAATTAAAGTTTTGTGCAATCGTATTGTTGCGCTATTTCATTTTCCTCGATATTCTTGGTTCGATTCTGAAGAGTTTATTTTGGTCACAAAACTTGTATGGAAGAAACTTCATTAATCATTCCAAGAGAAATTTCAAAATTTTTATAAATGAATTCTATTGGGAATTAAACGTCTTACAATTTTTTCGATAATCAATCATCGTATTGTTGAAGTTCAGTATCAAAGTTTTATTATAATAGAAAGGGGATATAAAAATGTAGGGGTGAAAACATTTGGGATCATAGTCATTTGAAATTTCTGAAATATCGAAATTCAAGAAAATGTTATGTTTAGAAATTGTAAAGATTTGAGAAATATAGAAATTCTACAATAAAATAGAAATTGGAATCTAAACTAGAATAAAAAATTGGAAATATGCAAACTTCAAAATATAAAACTCCAAGAGTGTAAGGATTTGATAATTGTATGAATTAGAAACTATAAGTTCAAAATACAAAAACTCGGGAATACAATCTATGAAAATAAATATAACATATTGAAAAATTGTGCAGTATACAGGGTGTCTCACAATTAGTGTAGGTCCTTGAAATGGGAGGTTGCTGACATGATTCTGACTAAAATTTCCCTTTGCAAAAATGAGGATTGAAGCTTCGTTTTTGAATTATTAATTATTATTAAAAACACGAACCAATCAGAGCGCGAGGATTACGCATGCGCAGGTGCGAGAGCGACAGCTTCGAGCTAGCGGCTGAATGCGTAGTACTTACCACGCGTTGTAATTACCACGCACTGTATTTACAACGCATTCTTTACCACGTACTGCACTTACCACGCGTTGTATTTACCACGTGCTGCACTTCCCACGCTTTGTATTGACCATGCATTACGTTTACCACGCGTTGTATTTACCACGCATTACGTTTACCACGCGTTGTATTTACCACGCATTGAATTTATCACGCGTTGCTTACCACGCATTGAATTTATCACGCGTTGCTTACCACGTGCTGCACTTACCACGCATAGTACTTGCCACGCCTTGTATTTACCAGGCGATACATTCACCACGCACTAATTTCTTATGTGTTGCACTCACTAAGCGTTGAATATACTGTATATGTAAGTACACTACATTTACTACTCTGCCGCGAGTTCGAAGCTGTCGCTCTCACGTCTGCGCATGCGAAATCTTCGCGCTCTAATTGGTCCGTGTTTTTCCTTAATAATTCAAAAACGAAGCTTCAAATCCCACTTTTGCAAAGGGAAATCTTATTCAGAATCGTGTCAGCTATCCCTCCTTTCAGGGACCTACACTAATTGTGGGACACCTTGCATAAATTTCGTCATACAAAAATTTAGGGATATATTTTTATTGCGACAGATATGAATGATAAAATTACTTGAGAATAAGCATAACATGTGTAACAACTTACTCAGTAATTAGCATAGCATACAGAAAATAATTCCCTATAAACGAACACAGCTCATTCGGATATGAATATCCCAGAAGTGATGTCATTGGCTCTGTAGTGCCGAAGTGTGCCAACAGTTTCTAATATGGCATATATTTATATAAATTATCTTTTATCGTTTTCATATGAAGATTCTTTCATCGATACGGTTCCCTGATGCGATGGAACACCCTGTATGCTTGTACGCGCACGAGTTCATATTCTTTTTATAACGATTGGAACGGGCAATAACGATATTAAACTCTGGACCGTTTTAAAATCCATGCATGGAAAAAAGCTGTTAAATTTTATACTGGTATTTTACGGTGTTCCCGCTGCCAATAATGGTAAAACATATTAAAATATAAAAGTCAGATCGCGATACCCTGACTGTTATCTCCGTGTAAAATCTCCTAGCGATCGGGATATCACGACTCGGCAATTGAGCCAATTAATTAATTCAATTTGTCCATCGTGTCTTAATCGTTTCTTAAAGTTGAACCCGATTTTAATTAATTAGTCAATGCTTCATTTGCTTTATTTCCGTTTCATTCAATAACTCGGAGATAGAGGTGCCTATTTATCGGTGCAATAAGGCGGGTTCGAAGGAACTGGTTACTGAAAGCTGGAAATAAGAATCGCGCTCATTAAAACCGATCACGCTATCGTTATCCAGTCCAGTTGAAATTTCATCCTTTTTGCGAATACAGAAATTTATAGAATATTGGAAAGATTCGACCATCCCTGGAATTTATGATAAGTGGAAGGAATACAAATATAGCGTTAATCAATTGTTATTCGTTTATTAATAATTAGGTTTGAAAATGTCTAGATTTTTGGATGTTTGGGATTATGAGTTCTGGGAAAATTTTGAAATTTTCAAGTGTAGGAATTGTTTTGTAGTAGGACGTTTTGGGTTTGGAAATTTAGAAATTTTCAGATTAAGAATTTTCAAATCTGAAAAGGCAGTTTTTTCGAATGTAGAAATTTCAAATTCACAAATTCACATATTCTCGTATTAACATATTCATATATTCACATACTCACAAATTCAAATATTAATAAATTAACAACTTCACAAATTCACAGATTCACTCATTCCCATATTCACATGTTGACATATTCACATATTCATATATATTCACATATCCACATATTTCACATATTCACATATTCACATATTCACATATTCACATATTCACAT